AAAATAAGCCCAAAGAAGGAAGGAAATAATAAAGTGCAGAAATCAATGAAATTAAAAACAGAAAGACAGTAGAGAAAGTCAATGAAACAAAAAGCTTGTTCTTTGGGGAAAAAAAATCAATAAAACTGAGACTTCTACCAAGTCTGACAAATAAAAAGACACAAATTTTTAATATCAGAAATGAAATGAGATATTACTACAGAGCCTACAGATATCAAAAGGATAATAAAGGGAATATTAAGAACAATTCCACAAACATAAATTTGACAACTTAGATTAAATGGATCAATTTCTTGGAAAATACAAACCACTACAACACAGCCAATATAAAATAGATAATTTGAATAGTCTTATAACTACTAAATAGAATTCATAATTTTTAAGACTCCCAAAAAGATTAAATAAAGATAATTAGGCAAAGTGCTTAGTATAGAAACTGGTATATTACCTAGTGCTCAATAAATGATAGCTATAACAATTTTATTTAAATCATCACAACCTCTCAGGGAAACCAAGGCTTCACAAAGACAAAATCCTTCACTAATAAGTAACAGAACCAGAATTTGAACCCAGATCTGAAACCAGTGCATTTTCCTCTAGAGTTTAGAATCCACACTACAGCCACCCCCTTGGGGATGTGTCACCAATAATTCTTTGAAAAATAGGAAAACCGTAAAGGAATGAGGTTTTTTTCTGTCAAAATCCCACACCAATAAATGTTTGCCAACTAGTTTTCTCCAATGTATGGCAATGATTCTCAAATGTTAGGGTACATCAGAATTACCTGTTTAAAATATAGATTGCTGAGTCCCAGCCCAAGAATTTGAATTTTTAACAAATTCCTAGTTGATGAACCACACTTTGAGAATTACTGGTATACAGTAATATGTTAGCCCATCTGTCCCCCAATATCAGAAGCTATCACACTCCAAAGAAGGGGAAGAAATTGAGACAGGATAATATTCTAAATCAGTGAAACTGGAGGGTGGGCCCTGCTCACCTAGTAAATCAAACACTGTGGCTAGGGCCCACCTATCTTGTGTTTTAACAGGTCTTCCAAGTGATTCTGATGCACACTAAAGTTTGAGAAACACTGTTCTATAAATCAAAGTGTTTTTGTAAAACCTAGCTTCTCACAGAAGGAATGAAGCTATACCATATTTCTTCCACTTTTGAGAATCTGGGCTCTGGGATCAGATAATTCAAAGTTGAAATCCACACTCAGAAAGTCACTTAACTTCCATGAGTTCTAAATTCTCATCAGAAAAATCGAATAGTTGCCTCCCTTCCTATTATCTTTCCAGGAAGTAACTTGGCATTACATTCCATAATCCCTAATTGAACTTCAAGAAATCTATACTATGGAAGTCACTAGAGATGTGAACAGATAGATTTCTATCACCTCTAGACATTTATGGATTTAAAATTGTAGGTTTAACTATCATGAGTGATGACAAAAACTATCAAAGCAATTTTTAGTAATTTCCTTTTTTTTTTTTTTTTTTTTTGGTGAGACAGGGTCTTGCTCTGACGCCCAGACTGAAGTGCTGTAGCATGACCATAGCTCACTGCAACCTCCAACTCTCAGGCTCCAGTGATCCTCCTGGCTCAGCCTCCCAAGTAGGTGGGACTACAGGTGTGCACCACCATGCCGGACTATTTTTATTGTTGTTGTTGTTGTAGAGACAGGGTCTCGCTGTATTCCCTAGCCTGATCTTGAATTCCTAGACTCAGGCAATCCTCCTGCCATGGCCTCCCAAAGTGCTAGGATTACTGGAGTGAGCCACTGTGCCCAGCAATATTTAGTAATTTTCAATTGTGCTGAAGTACAAACTTAAATGGAGCACTGTGAACCTGTTGTGCTGTGTGTGTGTATGTGTGTGTGTGCGTGGGTGCGTGCGTGTGCGCGCGCGCAATGCACTGAGTAAGCAAGAGTACCCACCCACCAAAGACCTGATTCTCAGATAGCTTCCGTGTTCTGTGGCAGCCCATAAAGAGAAGCATTACAAGAGATAAAAAAAAAAATTTTTGGTTTGGAAAAAAAAATAAAGCAGTTAACTTGTTTCAGAGTGTGCACAGAAACACAGGACTCACGGCAGAAATGTGATTAAAGAGGGGCCTGGCCCATAAACCCATTTCCATATTTGTAGGTTTGGAATTCTTAAGAACTTCAATGGTGCTCCTTGTAAATGTCAAGTATCTACTGTGCAAAGATGTACGCCACAATGTTTTTCTTTTTATCTTAGCCAGCACTCATATCAAGATGCAAAACATTTCCAGAACCCCCAAAGTTTCCTCACATTATTTATAATACAAAAAAATATAAATAATGTAAGTGTCCATCCATAAAAGAAATGACCAAATAACCAGTGACACATATATATGGTGGGATATCAGAAATCAGGTTTAGCTGAATATTTGACAACCTCGCAAATACTCACATTTAAATGGTAAGTAGGAATAAAAAATAGGTTACAAAATGGTATTTATAATACAACCCCATTTTGTAAAAATATGTTTATATTATAAGTCAAAAGACAAGAGTTAATGCAACAAAAAATTTAACAGTGGATTGTGCCAGGTAGTAGATTCATAGGTGACTTTTATTTCCTTCTTTATTCTTTCTCTGTGTTTTCTATAATGAACATGTCTCACCTAAATAACCAGAGGAAGTTAATATCTTTTTTTTTTATTTTCCATCCCCTCCTCCCTCCTCCTCCCTCCCCCCTGCCCGACATCCAATAGATGTTAGTCTTATATGTGCACTTATGTGTTGATCAGTTAATACCAATTCGATGGTGAGTACATGTGGTGCTTGTCTTTCCATTCTTGGGATACCTCACTTAGTAGAATGCGTTCCAGCTCTATCCAGGAGTATACAAGAGGTGCTATATCACCATTGTTCCTTAAAGCTGAATAGTACTCCATGGAAGTTAACATCTTTTAAAAGAAAAATATCAGCCAGGTATGGTGGCTCATGGCTGTAATCTCAGCACTCTGGGAGGCCAAGGCAGGAGGATCACTTGAGGTCAGGAGTTTGACATTGCAGTGAACTATGATGATGCCACCACACTCTACCCAGGGCAACAGAGACTCTGTCAATCAATCAATCAAAGAAAAATATCTAACTTTCAGGCTTGAATGTAAATTAAATAATTTATGCAAAGTCCCTGTCATGGGGTCTGGCACACATAAGCACTCAGGAAACATTCATTCCTGTTCCTTGTTCCCAGAATAAGGAGTTAAGGTATATATATTGTGGGCAGGAGCCCATTTTCTAGGTCTGAACCTACCTATACACTTCCTATACAATCCAAAGTAAAGGCCGCAGGCAATAGATTTTTTTCATGAAGACTCATTCATTCATTCAAAAATATACTCAGCATCTATTATATGTTTAGCTAGGTTCTAGGGACAGCAAAAATGAAAAGATGACATCTCTGCCCTCAGGGAGCTCTGGCTCATAAGTGACACAGACATATTTATTACTACGGTATGATGAAATAATTACTTTTTAATAAGGATGCACACAAAGTGCAGTGGGAACCCAGAGGAAGGAGACCTTTCACAGAGGAGGTATTCTGTGAGTTGTAAAAGAGAGAACATTAATGGGAATAGCATGTGCAGAGACAAAAAGGCATAAAGGAGCATAAAATTTTCCCAGAACTACAGGTAGTTCAGGCTTGCTAGGACATAAAGAACAAGAGAGAAGAGTGGTAGGAAATGAGACTGAACAAGTAGATCACAAAAGGTCTTGTCTGTCACATAAAGGAGACTGAATTTTATCCTGTAGGGGAACCACTGAAAGAAGAATTTTAAGCTGAGAAGTGACTTGATCAGCACTAGAAAAGATGCCAGGAATCCTGAAAGACATCTTAATCCCCACTTATTTTCAGGGCAAAAGAAAATGCCCCATCCTCTAGGTTTGTCCCTTCTTAAATAACATGAGGCAGTAAATAGAACTTTGTGTCTGTCACACAGTAAATATTCAGTAAAGATTGGTTAAATATGAATTTGATGCATTGCATGGGGATGGTCCCTGCTGAAGGCAGGATTTTAGCAGCACCAGCACCTTTAGTTTGTCTTGGGCATAACAGGAACAGCTCCTCTGGAGGGAACTAGTAACAACTGAAAATTCTAGAATCTAACATACAACAGGAGAAGGGTACCATATACTGTTTTGTTGTACTCCAGTGTACAAAGCCCTCTTAAGGCTCTTTCCATAGCTGGGATTTAAATCCCAATAATGGGATATTATGGTTGTATTCCACACACTAACCTCTCTGGAATCCTGGGTGACAGGTGCTCATGTGTGCACATGGTCAACTGAAGGGAATTTTTAGTGGTTTCACTCATGCTGTTTTACCCAATATCTATTCTGTTTAATTCAGTTTCGTTGGATGGTTCTGCAGATAAATATTGTAGAAATAAAATACTGTTGCATTTCTGCCTCCATTTGTCGAGTGCATGCAAATTGTTTCACATAGTCAGGGAGGATGTATTGATATATTTTACAGGTGAAGACAATGAAGCTCACACAGGCAAAGCAACTTGCCCAAGGTCACTCTGATAGTAAGTTACAAAGCCGCAACTGTAATCCATGTTTCTTGCACCTTAACATCTCAAAAATGCAATACTGTCTCCCCCAAAGCCAGTGTCTGAGGTGAAACAAAATGGTCAGAATACAAAAATGATATTTTCTTTGTGGCTGGAAAGGAAGGGGCTTATAAATCTAAAATTATATATATTCAAAAGAAGGGTGCAAAGAAGAAATACGTAGGGGAAAACAGAGAAAGAGGAGAAACCAGAGGCCAATGTCAGCTAGGCCCTGGTCTGCAAGGAGGGATGGAAGAACCTGGATCTGGGAGTGGGGTTGGAATTAATTCTTTGGGGGTGGGGGTAGGGGTGAGGGGCGGTTCCTGAGCTAGAACCTAAAAAGAGCTGAGAAAAGGAGAGAGCGAGTGAACACGCCTGGTCACTGCATCCTGTCCAGCCCTTACCTGCCATGAAACCAGTCCTGGCACATGTCACACTCGATCATGAAGCGGGTCACATCGTAAGGCAGCCGGCAGAGGCAATACACCGGCACCGAGGCCATCTTCGCCCGGCCTTGGAGGGTTCTGTGGCGGGCCAGGTTCGTGGTGTGAAGAGGGGCGGGAGGCAGCGGCACGCGTCCTCTCTGGATGATGGCTGGGCACAAACAACACTTTTTACAGAGTGCATCGGGCCCCCACCCCCGGCACCAACCCTCAGTTCTCGAATGGGGAGTTCGCGCCGCCGGGATGCAACACAGCTGGTGCGGCTGCAGGGGGCAAGCAGAAAGTCCACCGGCCTTCAGAATTTCCTTCACACGTAGAGAACCGGCGCCGTCGAGGCTTCCCCCACCCCCTGCACACGCCTTCTTCAGCCCCGGAGTCAGAGATAACTTCTTTCCGGGTTTCAGGGAAATTATCTGAAGGCTTTTCGGGAAGCTTCTTTAATCCCTAACCGAACCGTCTCCTCCTTTGCCTCCCAGGGCTCCCTTTATTATGACGCAAATCACAGCTAAAGAATGAGGCTGGGGGTACCTCAAGAAAACACCCACCTCTCACCCCCCAAAATAGGGATAACCAGAGAGAGATGAGAGATCTTGAAAGTCTGCTCAGGTTATTCGAAAATTACCTCAGAGCCCTCAGAAACAAGGCAGAAAAGACTAGGCGCCCAACTCAAATCACAGTTCTGGGGTCGTGTTCTGAGAGTTTAAATGATCCTTTCCTTCACTCTCAATAATATCATTCCTTCTTCGACCATCAGGAGTCTAATCACCCACAGAACTGAAATAAACCTCAATTTCAAAACTGATCAGCTCGTCCTCTACTTCAAAATGACAGGGTTCTCGGTGCACCCCTGAAACTAAAAAGGATCTCTTCAAAACCCCTAAAACTGACTAGAATTTCTTCACACTCCAAAAACTAAGCAAAGATTTTTTTTCACCGCTCAGAAACTGGCAGGCATCTCCTCGCAGCCCTCTTAAACTGATGAGGGCTCCCCAGTCCCCCCAAATTTTCAGGGATCTCATCCTAGATACTGAAGCTGACAGGAATATCCTTGCAGCCCCCGAAACTTACGAGAATCTCTTCACGCCTCCCCAACTGACAGCAACCTCCTCACGCCCCAAACCTGACAAGAATGTCTTCGGTCCCGAATCCTACAGGAACCTCCTCATGCCCAGAGCTGCAGGGACTCCTCACACCCGCGGAGCTCAGCCCCAGCGACACGCCGGCGGCCGGGCTGGCTCAGGGGTAGCGCTGCGCCTCGCTCAGCGGAGGCTTGCCGGGCAGTTCCGGCCCCAGCGGCGGCGCGCGCCGAATTCTGGGATCGTCACTGTAACGCTGCGAACCTCGCTAGGCTTCCCTTGAACCACCCGCTGAGTCGAGCGGCGCCAGCCGGCCGGCGGTGCTACAGGGCAGCCTTCTCCGCAACACTCCCCGGGCCTGGCCGCTCGGGCCTAGTCCTGTGGTCGCCTGGCGAACGAGAAAGTGGCGTCGTTGCCGGGCCGTCAGCAGACAGCCGCGAGCAAACCAACGAGGAAGGAGATGAACTGGCCGCCAGATCCGAGAAAGACGGCCCGAAAAGTCTCTGGGAGAAGCCCGGGGGCCGTGGTAGGCAATTCACAGTAGTTAATAAAGTTTATTCAAAACAACGAGGAAGTTGAGGCGGACAGGGGAGGAGAAATACGGGGTAAACAGCCACCATATTGAGAGTGGCGGCGCTGCCACGGAGAGCCGAGACGGCCGCCATCTTATGAGGGCCCGGTACGGGAGGTAAGCGCAGCGGAGGCTGAGAACTGCAAGCCGCCGGCTCCCCGTGACGTCATCAGGGGGCGGGGCGCCACCTTGAGAAAGGGGGGCGGTGCTCAGCTGCCTTTGGACTTGCTCGTCTATTCAAGGTGCCCAATTGCCGCTGAAGACCTAGAGCCGAGAGGCGGGGAAGCCGCCATCTTAGGCGAGGCAGACACTTGGCTCCATTTTGAGTGGGGCCAGAAACTTCCTAGCCTTCCCCCTTCTCGGATCCAACAGGGAGTTAAGCAACCCTCACACGCACACTCCTCCTCCCCAGCCTTCTCCTCCTATGAGAGGAGGTGAACTCTGTGACTCCATACTGCAAAATTAATAGGTGGTGCCAGGGGTGGGCTTCAGCGGGGTAGCGGCGGAGTACTCACAGCGACTCCCGTCCATTGAACACCTTTAGCGGGCTAGGCTCTTTCCCACGGTCTCCGGGTCCTTTATTCTTCGCCCTGTGAGGGAAGCTCTGTGATTATCCACAAATGAGGACACGGGCTTAGAGAAGCCAAGTGATTTGAGTTTCAAAGCAGGGAAGTTGAACCTCGCGCCCCGTACTAGCCCCGCATTCTGTCCACAGTCCCTCAGTGTAGTTCCTCCATAAAGATTCTGCCAACCTCTCGGCTCCCCCTGAACTATCTCCTTGACCCTACTGTTTTCCTTCAGTTTACATACAGTTCAAGCATGCCCATGCACCTATTCCTCAGTTTTCTGACTACAGCCTGAGGGTGGGGTGGGAGGAGAAATTGAATGAGGAGCTGACACATGGGCTTCAAGATGGCGCTGATTTTCTGATTTTCTCAAAGGTTCTAGAAATTTCTCTAGTTCTCTTACTATTTCACTTTCTTAAAGGGTCCCAGTGCTTTAAAAAAGAAAATGTGTGAGCACACACTAATTTCCTAATCAGTGATGGTAGGTTATGCCCTGGGGATACAATGATAAAAAGAGGGCCTCTGCAGTGGGAAATCACCAGCCAGTGGCTGGGGATAAGCTTGCAAGTAAACAATTGGAATACAAGACCTAGTAAGCATACAAACACCTCCTGCCAAATTACCTTTGCAAAATGCAAAATGAAGCTAAGAAAGCCTCCTCAGAAGCTGTAAGGAAGACTTCAGAGAGACTTGGTGGATATATAAAAGTTTACTAAAACAAGTAAGAACATTGTACACAAAAGGATTGGCATGTACAAATGCGTGGAGGCACATGGGAAAACATTTACTAAAAGAACTTGAATTTTGTTGAAACAAAGGGAAAGAACAAAAGAGTTGGGTAGGAGGTCAAACTGAGTGAGGGGTCAGCTCATGAAAGATTGCAAAATGCAATCAGATTTTATCCTGTAAGCAATGAGAAACCACTGAAGTTTATTGAGCAGGAGTAACTGAATCACATTTGTTTCTTAGCCAGAGGAAGGTCCAGGTTTAGTGGGACCTGAACCTTATACAGTTTGGAGGAGGAGTAATGAGACTTCTTTTTAGACTTACAAATACAAAATTTAGCAGTAAGAGTATTTCTAGAAGCAATTTCTACACCTAGGTAATAACTATGAATAGAAGTGATACAAGCCACTTATAAATGTCCCATGAAACCCAAACTAAATGTATCCCCTAAATCAACTTCCTCTTAGGTGGATCTGAAAAAATATCTGAGGCAGCTCCGACACCATCTAATGCAAGGGAAGGAATGACCAGGCTCTCAGTGGAAAGGGACAGCAATTTGAACCAATTGTGGTTTGAATATATTTTGTGAACTTTATAAAACGTATGACCATGTGACCACATAGCAAGTGACAGATCCTTCAGCTTGAGCTTTCCTAGCTTCACAAGGCAGCAGGAGGGAGGAGGCTGTTTCACTAGTCTGGATAAAAACATCAGGCCTGAACCAGGATATTTTCAGAAGGGGTAGAAAAGGAGCAGATAATTTGGATATTTTGGAGGTTGAATAGGTGGGGCTTGGAGACTAATTGAAAATAGTGGATGAATGAGTGAAAGTGGTGTGAGTTCACTTCTGGGTTGAGTGTCAGAGTGGACAGGTGCCATTGATTCAGCCTGGGTACAAGAAGGAAAAGCAGGTTTGGTGGGGAAGAAGAGAGGTAAGTTTAATTTGGAATATGTTGAGTTCGTGTGTGCGTAGAACATTAGCTCACTCCCAACAATTATTTATTGATCTACTATGCAGCAGGCACTGCTGTGCTAGGTGCTGAGGATGTTAAGGTAGTCCAGGTAAGGTTCTGGCCTTCATGGAGCTGACATTCTACTGGGGGAATCAGTCAATAAATAAAATTTCATTCACATATTTTTTGAGCACCTACTATTAGGCACTAGGGATTTAGAGGTAAACAAAACAGACAAGGTCCCTGCCTTCCTGTGACACATTCCACCAAGGGAGACAGACAATAAAATGAGGCAAATAAGAGAATTCCTGATTCCAGTGAGTGCTATCAGGAAAATAAGACGAGTCATGAGACTGAAAAATTTAGAGGGAAAATAGTCTATTTTAGATAGGGTAGTCAAAGAAGGCCTCTCCGAGAAGGTGACACGTAAGCTGAGGACTGAACAACCAGAGCTAGGCAGAAACTAGGTCAGAAGGAATCAAAAGCCCAAAGGCCCTAAGATGGTAGTGGGAGGACAGGGCAGGTTACAGGTGGTGGTCGGGGTGGAGTCTCCAGACATGAATTAGAGATCCTGTATGTACCCTTAGGGAATATACACTCTAATAAATTAACAATAACAAGGCTGGAAAAGGTCAAACCTAAATGCTACCTAGAGGTATGAGCAACCTGTGTGGGAACAAAGAAGGAGCCACAATTAATTTAAACATATTCAGTGAGTGTGTCAGGAAAGCCTTCACAGGAGGTAGCATTTGATCTAGATGTAGTGGTAACAACCCCCACTCCTAAAAGTTCCTCTCCAGTATCCTTGAGAGGTGGCGGGTGAGAAGCTAAAGAATACTGGGAAAGGCAAAGCTGCCAGGGGGCTAAAGGCCAGGCAGTCACATTTGCAGACGAAGGAAGTCTTGCCGCTTTCAAGGGTGGGAGGCAGACAGCTGCTGCTCTGGAAGTGTGTGGTTCCCTCCAGAACTGGCCACCATAGCTCGAGGCTGCCTTGGAAGCCTTCCTCCCCTACTCCATCTTCCACTTTAACTGGAAACTTACAAATGTTTCCAGTTGTAAACATTTTTTTTAATTACACATAATGGTAAACGCATTCCCATTGTAAGCATTCAAAACGCTAGCTTGAACTTCCCCCTGACCCCAGTCAATCCCTGCTTATCTCCCTAGAGGTAACCTCAGGGGGATCTTTTCCAATTCCTTTATCTGCATATATGTACGTATAGCTATTGAGATGAAAAGTGTGCGGGCTAGAGTGAACAATAAAATACATGAAGAGAAAAGGGAGAGAAACGGGGGGCGGGAATTACATGAGGAAGAACAGGCTTCCTCTAAATGTATAAGTATCAGTGAAAAAAAAGACAAAATAATGACAAATAACATTATCTGAGAATTTACTGTGTGCTAAGCACTATTATAAGCTCTTTACCTGCATTAACTCAATCCTTACACCAACCCTATGAGGTAGCTACCCATACTATCCTGACTGTATGAATGAGGACAATGAGTATAGAGACTTTAATTCACTTGCTCAAGGTCACATAGCCAGTATGTATCTAAGCTGGGGTTCCTAGTGATGCAGGCCCAGAGTCCAGGCTCTTAACCACTCCATTATACCACTGGTGTGGATTTAACAGCAATTGGTGTATAGATATAATGGGAGAAGGTAATCAACAGTTCTTTGCATAATTTGAATCACAAAAGCAAAATATGGTTTGCACACCCCTGAAATAAAAACTAGCAGAATGATGCCTCAGGCACCAAACTAGGTAGCTGAGAACACTAATCCACGCCTCCCAAGCCAGCTTCATAGGTGTGCCACCTGCACAGAGCTCTGCTTCCAGAGCCTTGGGCTTCATTTGAAGCTGTCTTGAAATTCTTAATAATTTTATCTTTGAACTTGTGTTTTATAAGTGTAGTCCAGTGTGACAATGGATCATGCACATGAGAAGAAGAGATATGCTAAGTGGTAGCACACACAGCCTGTGGGCACTGCAGGCAATGTGCATGCTGAGGAATTGGCCGGGCCACCTGGTATGCATAAGCACATTTGGGACAGTCTAGAGCACCACAGGGCTTGGAGGGAGACATCAGGCCAGCAACAATGGTACCAGAAGCAGCAGCGGAGGTAGCAGTGCCTATAACCCTGGGAGAAAGAAAGGCCTCTGCATAGGGACAGTGAGGGGACCTGTAGTGAGAGGTAAGGTTGTCCTACTCTCACCACAGCCTGTCCCTGCAGGAGCTGCAAAAAGATTAACTCTTTGGCCTGCACACTGGAGGCATGAACTGCTGGCACTAAGGCAGCAAACTTTGGCAGGAAATTATTACAAAATAAAAGCATTCCGATGACAGTTTCTTTGGCTGTGCAGA